GGGGGGGGGGGGGGGGGGGGGGGGGGGGGGGGGGGGGGGGGGGGGGGGGGGGGGGGGGGGGGGGGGGGGGGGGGGGGGTCGGCATCGGGCAACGATGGTTCCGTTCTACGTAGCCACACTCCCCCCCCTTCATCCAGATCCCTCTTCTCGTTCTCTTTCTCTCTCTGATTGCCTCCCCCCCCCCCTCCCGAGAGAGAACAGAATCTAAAAGAAAGAATCCAAGGACAAGGAGGGTCTAGAAGTGTACGGAATGTTGAAGGAAGGAGTAGGGTTCAAGGATTACCTACATGGACCAATTGATGCAGGAACAAAGCTTAAGGTCAAATTCAGGACCGGGGACATAGGCCTTCGACAACGTCGACGAAGACATAGGACGGTAGACGACGAAGACGACGAGTTCAAATGTGATTGCGGCTCGAAGGCGAAGACCGTGTTCATGTAGTCACGGAATGCCCGTTGTACAAGAAGGAGAGGGAAGTGTACGTGACTGAGCTGGGAAAAATAGAAAGGACGCCCAGGGAGATGTTTGAGGCATNCGCCCCCTCCCCCCCCCTCTCCCTCACTTTTCCATGTGTTCGACCAGCCTTCGTATCCTTACGAGGTCGTCGGAGGTTGGGTCCACAGCATTCTCATCCTCGTCGTCCACATCGTCGACGATGGGACCGTTCCCTGTCGCATTGCGTTGGTTAGCGTTCAGTCGAGAGAAACGTATGCCTACAGAGCAGGAAACGGCTCACTACCGTGCCGCGACTTATGCGGATTGAATCGCATGAATGAAATCGTTTGGTCAGACTCGTCGCATGCCTGCTCCCAGCATCACAGGCTGCACAAACCCGTCTGCGTATGGCGTGCACGCGCACAAATTGCTGCTGCCGTCCGCTACACTTTCTCCCCCAGAAAGACAAAGACGTAGGTGCAGGGTGTTCACTCGACTGTTCAAACTGCTATGTAAGACGTACCGAAGGACTTGGGACAATCTCGCTCGCTGTTGCTGCTTTTGGTCGCTTACCGCTGCTGCCCCTGTACACAAGTCGTTTCCCGGCGCCTCTTCCAAGGCACGGCTGAACGGAGGCAGATGACAGCCGATCGCCGGCGGGTCCCAATAGGTCGGGGCAGTCTACAAGCGGGCGGCATGCCGGGCAGTACCTGTTTTTTTTCATTGTGTGCTGTGCGTGATGATTCGTTTTCAACTTTTACTTTTCAGAAGGTTGAGAAAGGATATACTCTCTCTCCCTCTCTCTCTCTCTCTGGCGCTACTCCCTGTCGTAGACCCTTCCTCTGTCACCATCGACTCTGTACCTGAATCAGCTTATGTCCCACCCTCTACCTCTGCATCCAGATAGTCCTGTCTGAAGATGGCCTAATTTCGTCTGCTCACGTATGTACGTAGATCGGCTCCGAGCATTGACACTATCTAATACTTTTCTGACAACTTTTGCAGACCATCGCACCTGCAAGCCTGAAACACTCGCGCGGCATCTCTCTTGGCCGCTCCTTTGGCGTATCTATGGATGATAGCGTTAAACACCTTCCCATCTTCCTGGCTTGTCGTCGTCGTCATCGTAGTTCGCGGTGGTGGTGATTTTTCAATTGTTTTGTGATAGGTGTCGTCCCGTCCGTTGTTTCCCGGCACCCGCCGTCATGGCGATAAACGTGTTGTTTAGCACCAGAGCCAGAAGCAGCATAAGCACAAAGGAGGTCCGACGTCAAACAAAAGGGACGCACGACATTACGGAAGAGCAGGCGCCGGCTCAGAGAGAACGGAGGAGGGCGTTGTGCATGTTCATGCCGTTGGCCATGTACTTGATCTCACATGTGATGGTCATCCGTGTGCATCTCGAGCGTTTCGTCGAGGACTACCCTTCCTCCCAGGTCCAAGAAGTGATCCAAGACCGCTTCTGAGTTCGAGAGGTTATGCAACGGGGGGGGGGGGGTTGCCCCTTCGAAGTGAATAAACTGGTTTCAGAAACAAAAGGTTTCGGGACATATGTCCAAGCTGGGGGGCAACATTAATTTCACCGGCTGGGNGGGGGGGGGGGGGGGGGGGGGGGGGGGGGGGGGGGGGGGGGGGGGGGGGGGGGGGGGTTGCCACTCCGAAGTGAATAAACTGGTTTCAGAAACAAAAGGTTTCGGGACATATGTCCAAGCTGGGGGGCAACATTAATTTCACCGGCTGGGTTCGGCGAAGAAGACTTCCAAGCCTTGTCTAGAAAGCAACGGAGACTTGGTCAGGCAAGTCACCAACAATCCAACTAACCTTGTTGCTAGAACATTCTGCATTTATTTTTAACGTGGGGTGCAAAAAGGCTTTGTAGTCCAGCGTTCCCCCCCCTTCTCCGGGGAACATACCGCGATACGTTTTGCTTAGGTTGGTCAAGTTGCACGTGCTTTTTCACACAACAGTGCACCCCAATCGCTCACTGCCCACTGCTCTGGTCGGTCTCCTCCCCTACGCTTGCCCTCGAAACCGGTTGTGCTTCACGCTAACGCCAACTGAAAAAGGCGCACCGACCACTACACATGTGAATGATCTAGACCACCAAGCTCACCGTCCGGGCGGCAAAGGGGGATGAGAGTCCTCACGGCTTGTCGGAGGAAAACCTCGTCCAGTTTAAACATGCCCAACATCTCCAACAAGGCTTCCACTGCGCCCTGCTCGTGAAAGGCTGCTACCTGCTTTTCTGCTCGGAACAAGGCACATGCTGCTCAGCTGGTTTATTCCCTTTGCATCGTTCAGAAATTGTACGAAAAGGGATAGCGACAGGCGAGTAGACTCAATGGGACGGAAAAACGAAGACTGAGTTAAACCAGAATATATAGAACTCTCGCTCTCAATTCGCATACAGCTATCTCAACGCCCAGGTCAATCCTCGAAAAACGTGGCGTTTGCTAGTAAAGTTTGGTTGTGGCACACTCACTTCCGTGCAGAAGAGAATCGCACCGGCAGTGCATCTCGTCTAGGCAAGCGAGCAAGAAGTCTCTCTCCGAGGGCACCAGGCACGTATGAACCTGTTTTTGCATCGCCAAAGCAGTGACGCGCGGTGGAGCACTAAATATGAAACGCTGAGCAAGAATTCGAGCATACTTTTCCACACAACAATAGCTGCACTTCGTCACCTACATACATAGACAGTGGAGATACGGCAAAATCTGTTTGTCCGAACTCTTCCTCACAACTCGCGATCTCGCATTATTCTTGTAAGGTTTTCGAACAATTAAACGACGTGTGGAAGCCGGATGTACTGTGAAAAATAGTTTGCTGTGGAAGAGTACGGGTTTCTGTGCGAGTAGTACACCAACAACACCAACGACAGGTGACAACGATGTGTGACTAGGATACATTTCACCACCTCTCATTTTTATCTATATCATAGTTTGACAGAGCCCTTCATACGAGGGCGTAAGCGTTCGACTCTAGTGTACGTAGAAAACGCGTTCATTCGTATGTCGACACATCAATACCGCTACACACCAATTGCCTCACGACGATCGCGCCACACATGTAACGTCTTGCTCGTAGATCACCTGCTCCATGAGATCGTATGTAGGGACGAATTTCAGCCCCCAGGATCCGCCCTGGGTGTACAAGGTGCTCGCTGAAGCCCCCATGAGCATGAAGTCCGACGAGTTGGAATTACATATACTCTTGTGATGTTGTAGACCGTACAGAACGTTGGGGTACGTTGTACTGCTGTGCCTTTTGGTTTTCTTCCGATGACTACAAGGAAGTATAGTCTAGTCTTCAACACCGTTATTTATTGTGCCATCCAACGTGTAGTCTAAGCGTGGTACTACATACAACAATACCATTCATGTTAAATCGTTCGAACGTTCCACCTTCTGCACGACGACAGCGCCATTACTTGCGTACGTGATCTACCGCTGTACATGTGCGTGCCACGCCGCGAGAGGCTCAGCGAGAACTCTCAAAACGTGTCCCTCCCCGTTCTCACTGCTGTTTCAAGTGCAGTCAAGTGCAGTCTATTATCTTATTTTGATCGACGGGCCAGTGTGTCTACATCCTCAACAGCTACGATGTTATCGTGACAAGAGGCAGGGTGCGTCAATGATCGTCCGCACGTTGTATACCTTTTCGAACACGTATAGGCTATACTTTCGACCTCTTCGCGGGTCGGGCTCGTCGATTTGTCTTCGATACTATTGGCAGTTTCATGGATTTCCATGTCGTGTTTTTTTTTTTCGTGATGTGCCGCCCAGCCGCCCCAGCGACAAATTCCGCCGCATTTTGGGTTCCTTCTCGCAGTTCAGCAGCTTGTGCGAGCACTGGCCTTCTCCACCGGAAACACAAGCCCCCCCCCCCAACAACCCCCCC